TGCCAACTTCTTTCTTTCAGTGAGTCTCAAAGGTGCTACAAGGTCTCTATATTATTATTATTATTATTATTAATCTAAATGTATCATGCTGCCAACTTCTTTCAATGAGTTTCAAAGGTGCTATGAGGTCTCTATATTATTATTATTATTATTACTCTGCAGAGGGGCGGGATATAAATAAATATTATTATTATTATTATTATTATTATTATTATTATTATTATTATTATATCTAAATGCGTCTAAGGAAGTAGACTGAAGTCTAGGAAAGCTCATGCTGCCAACTTCTTTCTTTCAATGAGTCTCAAAGGTGCTACAAGGTCTCTCTATATTATTATTATTAATCTAAATGTATCTGAGGAAGTAGATTGAAATCTAGAAAAGCTCATGCTGCCAACTTTTTTCAGTGAGTCTCAAAGGTGCTATGAGGTCTCATTATTATTATTATTATTATTATTATTATTATTATTTCTAAATGCATCTGATGAAGTAGACTGAAGTCTATGAAAGCTCATGCTATCAACTTCTTTCTTTCAGTGAGTCTCAAAGGTGCTACAAGATCTCTCTACGCACAGTTTACATTACAATGTGTAAGCCAATAGCTCCCAACAAGCTGGGTACTCAGTTCACTTCTCTTCATTTCCTTCTCTTTGGGGGTTGCCAAGGGATCTTGCAGCACCTTTAAGATTCACAAAAGGTGCTACAAGATCCCTTTGCAAGGATGGATCAAGCTTGTTTGTTGCTGCTCCAGAGACTAGGACACAGAGCAGTGGATTCAAACTACAGGAAAAGAGATTCCACCTCAACATTAGGAGGAACTTCCTGACATTAAGAATTGCCTTTTACTCTGCCTCAAAACGTGGAGTCTCCTCCATTGGATGTTTTTAGTGGCTGGATGGCTATGTGTCAGGGGTTCTTTGATGGTGAGTTCCTGCATGGCAGAGGGTTAGACTTGATGGCCCTTTAGGTGGGCTTTATGCTGGAGAAGGTTGTAGGACCCTTTATAATCCCTAGGCATTGATACCCAAACTGTAGTCCTCCAGGTGCTTTGGATTTCAGCTCCCAGAAGCCTCTGCCATCTTGGCCACAACACTTGGAATCATAGAGCTGGAAGAGACCACAAGGGCCACCCAGTCCAACCCCCCTGCCATGCAGGAACTCCCAATCAAACCAACCCCCACCAGATGACCATCCATCCTCTGTTTAAAGACCTCCAAGGAAGGAGACTCCACTACACTCCAAGGGACTTGAAAGGCCAGGGTTTGGGAATCATTGCTGCAGAATCTAGGACCCAGAGCAATGGATTCAAACCACAGGAAAAGAGACTTCACCCTTTCCAGACAGTAAGAGTTGCCTTTGAGCAGGGGCTCTTTTCTCATGTCAGCTGTGAAGATGCTATGGTTGCATTTGTGTGTTTATTTTTGAGAAAGTAAGCCACTGAATTCAGCAGCATTTATTTCTGGGTAGACATACC